CCTACAGACGTGCACTCGGGCCTGCACAGAGAACACACGACAGATGTAACATCTAGAGCACAGCATCCAGTTCTTAACTCCTACAGACGTGCACTCGGGCCTGCACAGTGAACACATGGCAGACATAACATCTAGGACACAGCATCCAGTTCTTAACTCCTACAGACGTGCACTTGGGCCTGGACAGTGAACACACGGCAGATGTAACATCTAGAGCACAGCATCCAGTTCTTAACTACTGCTCCTCTCACGGCCTTTCGGTCTCACTCCTCTCTGATCCCAGTAACTATGAAACAAGCTGGAGACTTGGATTGTGCCTTAGTGAAATAGGAAGCTAAAATGTAAATCACACTGACTGGTGAAAGGCTCCGAGGAGAGATAATCTTGGTGATGGAGTTTTCTTACCTTGCCTAAGGCATCTTAAATTATCCCACTAAATATATGAAAGAAGGGCTGTGAGTGTTGCTCACTCTGCAGATCGCCATGGTGATGATTTTAGGAGGTGGGCCTTTGGAAGACAGTATGTCCCCTGACGAGATCAGTGTCCTTACAGAAAGGGCCTGAGATCTGTCTTACCCCTTCCAACATGCAATGACACCGCCAATGGTGTCACCTATGAAACAAGAACAGGCTTTCTTTATCACAGATCTGCCTTGATCTTTGATTTCCTAACCCTTAACTTCTTATTGTCTGTTAACTATTTTATCTGTGGTATTTTGTTGCAGCAACCTGAAAGAGCTAAGACTGGTATTCAGGCAATTCTGATATGTGGGCAGCACGGAGAACCCCAGTCTAAAGGGTGCTCTTGACAACTATGTATCTCAAGACTCCAAAAGCCTGCGAGCTGAAAAAGTAGGCTATACAAGAATGATAGGAATGGCTAGACAAAAAGACTGTCCCCTGCCCATCATTTAGCAGAAGCAAACATCTGAATCTACAGAAGGGAATGTGAGGTTTTGTGTGTGGCCTGACTACAGGCGGAGCAGCTTAAACAGCACTTGCTTAGCAGCTCTCTGTTTCTGTTTCCACATGATGGGGGCAGGGCTCTGACCTAGAGGCTCAGGAAAGAATCAGCTTCCAAACTCAATTAGCCTTAGCAGACTTCACACTTGGTAACTTTGCCCTGACCTAGACCGAATCACCAGTGTCTACCAGAGTCCAGGACATGGCAAGGCCCTAGGAACATAGCCAAGGTGCCCAGTGAGAGAACTATTCCTTGTGCTACTTAGGAGGTAATAGAGGACTTTACAGAGATTTGGGGTAAATTCTATGCAATCCAGCTCAAGGTCCCTTGGGGAAGGAAGGCAGAAGAAAAGCAAACTAACTCTTCAGCCCAGCTGGCTGCAGTACCTGTAACCATCAACCTCACAGATATAAAGCACCCCACGAGGCATGTTGTGGGTACCAACAGGACCTCAGTATTCTAATGCTCAGTGCTACTTACTGGCTGTCAGGCAGGGACCCTGAGCCAGAGAACTGGTGTTTCAAGGCCTCCCTTCCACACTGTCCATTTCAAAGCAACCCCTGGCTAGGTAGAAAGACAGGTAGAAAGCTATTTGAAGTAAAAACACATATGGCTACTGGTCTTCAAAAAGATTATGAACCATCTGAACTTTCAACAATTGGTTCTGGCCTCTTAATTCTCAGAGTAACTACAGAACTGTTTAGGGAACAACGTGTACAAACTGGTCTAGCTGGGGAATAGTTTGTCAAAGGTGTGAGACACATGTGTGATTTATAGTTCTTTCTAAACTTATAGACATTTAACCATGAGTGAAAAATATTCTTCACACACAATACATTGTGGGTTTCACCAAACATAAAAGTATTTTGAAAACTTAATACAAGATACTCACAAAACAACAAAAAGTTTAGTACAGCAAGAAATAGTTTTCTTTCAACTTACTGGAAATATTCTGTCAATCTCCTTCCCTCATTCTAATTATAACATCATGCCACAAAGGGCCAATTTATTCTGAAAATTGTAATTGCCTTTTACCTCCTCTTGGCTCTGTCCTGGATCCACTTCTGTAGTAGAGAAACGACAGCAACCCAGCCAGAGATGACTGCACTGGGCTCAGCCACAGTTGAGGCTGATTACTCCTTTTGATTGTTTTCTTCCATTTTCCATTACCATATTGTCTTGACGCTAGCACACACCTCCCCGCCCGGTGCCACACACAAACAAATAATCAGCAATCTCTTGCTCCTTTTGCTTTTCCACTTCCTCAGCAGCTTGGCTGACAAATGCAGAGATGGCTGTTATTGGAGTGGCTTCCATCTGTGGGCCAGTTCATCCCTTAGAATGGGGCGTACAAGGGGCACGCTTAAGGAAGAACAAGGAACTAGAAGTAAGTGTATCCTGGGAGCCTTTATGACCGTGTCTTGAGTTTCGTGAAATAAAGGGAGAATTTAAAAAAAATGCCAAGATAAAGATAATACTATTCTTGGGTAGACTCTGATTTTAAAGTATTGTATGGTTAATAGAACAGAGAGAATCTCAGCCCTGCTTCTCAGCTCACTGGGCTGAGTCTCAGGCAAGCCATGGTTTCTTCTAGCTCCGTTCTCAGTCCTAGCTACTTTCAAAAGCTGGACCTTAGGAAGGTGAGCTATAATGTTGGAATCTTCCTAAGTTTTAGAAAAAAAAAAAAAAAGGAACAAAGCCAAGGAAAGAAATTAAAAAGGAGTATCCACTTAGAGTTAACGCTAGAAAAATAAAGCTTCACTGTGAATTCCTGGCTGACCTAGAACTCGGAGATCAGCGTACCTCTACCTCCAGAGTGTTGAGATTAAGTGCGTGTGCTACCACATGTGGCTCGCAGAAACATGATTCCTAGGCAGAATACCAAAAGCACTTAGCCACTAGAGGAAAAAGATGGCCCTAATCAGGTATAGTAGAAATTAAGGGATGGTGTGGCAGGTAAAAGCACTTGCTTGTGGAGAGAACTGGCTCTACAAAGTTGTCCTCTGACCTTCAAGGTGCACCGTGGTGGCAGGCATGCGCCCACATACACGCACAAAAACATGTACATATTGAAAAAAATAAATATAAAATATTTTATTAAGATTTCTGCTTCTCAAGAGTGGAATTTCAAGTCACATTAAAGAATCTGTGTATGTGGGGTAGGGGTGGTTGACACCTTTTAATCCCAGCACTTGGGAGGCAGAGGCAGGCAGATCTCTGTGAGTTCCAGGACAGCCAGGGCTACACAGAGAAACCCTGTCTCAAAAACAAACAAAAAAAGTAGGGGGGAGAAAAAAGAATCTGTGATACATCAATTTAACAAAGAACACAGATTTCTAAAATTAGAATTTATGTTTTATTTTACCTATATATGACTGTTTTGCTTGCACGTTTGTATGTGAATCCGCAGGTGTCAGAGCCCTGGAAAAGACGACTGTGAGCCACCATGTGGGTGCCAGGAACTAAACTCACGTGCTCTAGAAGAGCAATGAGTACTCTTAACTATGGAGCCATCTCTCCAGTCCATTCAAAGAAGTTTTTAAAGCAATAAAGAAAAAACAGAGAAAATTATTTTAAGGATGGGAAGGAGCTTGGAAAACAGCTCAGGGGCAGAGTGTGTGCTCTGTAGGAAGCTCCTGACGACCAAAATAAATGCGAAGTAAATACATAAGGATGAAAGGCCTAACTAGGTACGTCTCCACAGAAAGGCTGTCCAAATGACCAGTTCACACATGCACAATCTCATTAGCCAACAGGCTAACAAATACCAAAACCATAATGAGATACTACTACAGCTCCACCCAAACACCGTGAGTGAAGAACACAGCACGCTGATGAGAACACATAGGAACACATCTCCCATAAACTGCTGGTGGGGGGGACAATGCACAGTTACAGAGAAATTTGCTTGGCATCATCTACGACATTTGAATATGCAGCTTTAAGGCCCAGGCACGCCGTTCCTAAGAGCACATCCAGCAGCGATAAGAATATCAATAAAGCAGACAAGTAAAAAACAAAAAAAATCACATAACGTGTTACTAAATAGTGAGGAAAATAAAATATAGCAATAAAGGGCGAATCTTACTAATTTTTTTATGGGGGGCAGGGTTCGAGACAGGATTTCTCTGTAGCTTTGGAGCCTGTCCTGGAATTAGCTCTTCTAAGACCAGGTTGGCCTCGAACTCACAGAGATCCACCTGCCTCTGCCTCCCAAGTGCTGGGATTAAAGGCGTGCGCCACCACCACCCGGCCAAATCTTACTAACTTAACACTGTGTGAAAAGATGCAAATATTATACAGCTTTCTGTTCCTTTTATCTAAGAGCTGAGAAAGGTATCACTACTCAAGCACTCACACTGTTACAGAAACCGCAAGGAGAGAAATGAGGCAGACAGGAACCTCGGGGAGCAGCAAGGGGCTCTGGCTGGGAAGTCCTGACAGGTTTGAGGGAACTGGAGATGCTACTTCAGGATGGGGTTTCTGACTGGGTTCTCATTTCGTAATGATTAATGAGACTCATTCATGCACTTTTACCTTTGTGTATACTATTTCATAACAAAAAGTTTAAACCTATATCAGGTATCACTTCCTTGTCTGCTCTTCTCAGAAAGTAAACACCACCCTAGACAAACAAAACTAAACTAAATGAAAACACATAAAGCTACAAAAAAAAAAAAAAAGATGAGAAAACTTGGGAAGTCTTTATGCATAGGAGAAAGAGCTGCCTCTTTGGGAAGATGCTTTATCAACAGCTCTGGCCAGGGGGGAGAGAGTGAAAAGCCGCCCCCCCCCCACCACAGCAGATGTGAGTACTCGCAGTCTGTGGGGTGGACTGCAGACTGGCCTTCTGTCCCCCACCCCGTCTCCTCATAGGGAGGCCTTAGCATAGTACAGTACACAAATACCAGACCCTCCCTGGAAGTCACGGCTGAGAGAACAGAGATGACATTGTATGCAAACTGGGCCACCAAGCGCATGCACACATGGACCTGGAAAGGACCACGGACATCCAATTGGCAGCACCGCTCCTTACTGCATAACCTTCTGTCTTCTTCTGACACCATTTCAGGAGTGCATTACGCTTAGAGCCACCATACTCCCGGGCCAAGGCTGCCAGGGGGTCTCTTCTTTCAACACTGTTTACAAAGAAGAAGAGAACGCAGTTAAGGACGGTGTTGGTAGAAGGCTTTTTTGTTTTTCTTTTGAGATAAGGTCTCATATGGCCCAGGGTGACTTTGAATTCCCTATAGGCAAGGATGACTCTGAACTCCTGATCTTCCTTCCTTCCTCCACATGTAATGCTGGGATTACAGGTGTGTACTATCTCCTCGGCCAAATGTTGGCTTTTTTGTTTGTTTGTTTGTTTGTTTTATTTTTCAAGGCAAGGTCTCGCTGTATAGCCTTGGCTATCTAGAACTTACTCCGTAGATCAGGCTGGCCTGGAACTCAAGAGATCTGCCTGCTTCCCTCTCCTGAGTACTGGAACTAAAATCATGAGCCACCACCACCTGGTTAAGATGCTGGCTTTTAAAAGCCTAAAATATACATAAAAAATAATTAGATTAAAAAAAGCCAAAGTGTAGTTTATTCAAACAGTACTCTAGAAAAACAGCTAAATTAGTCACATTAAAAATATATTGTGTCAGCCAGGCCACGATGGCACATATCTTTACTCCCAGCACTTGGGAGGTCAAGGCAGGCTCATCTCTGTGAGTTCATGGACAGCATTTCCATGTATTTGACAACTTATAAAATTAAGCCATGGTGGTCACACCTGGAATTATACCATCCTTTATAACTGACTAGCTAGAGAAAGTAGTTTCTGAATAAATGGGAGGCTCAAGAATTTACCATTAAAAATACTTAAATATGGGGCTGGGAAGATGGCTCAGTAGGTAAGAGCACCTGCTGCAAAAGCAGAGGACCCAAGTTCTAAATGCCCATGGTTGATCATGCCTGTGACCCCAGGGATGGGGAATGGTGACAGATGGCTCCTCGAGCTTACTATCCAGCCAGCCTAGCCAAACAGGCAAGCTTCAGCTTCAGTAAGAACCTGTCTCAAAAAATAAAGTGGAGAGCAAGAGAAGAACACCCAATGTTACACAATTAAATGACTGCCCTCATAAGTATTTAAAAATAGAGGCTGAAAATTCATTTTGAGGCATGAACTCATTATGTACCTCAGGCTGGCCTTGAACTCCTCATTTCCTGCCTTAGCTTTTTTATTTTGTTGAGACAGTGTTTCTCTGTGTAGCTCTGGTTCTCCTGGAACTCACTCTGTAGACCATAGACAAGGTTAGCCTCATACACAGAGATCCACCTGTCTCTGCCTCCTGAGTGTTGGGATTAAAGGCATGCACCATCATTGCCTGGATTATCTCAGGTTCTTAACTGATAGAACTATAGGTGTGCATGACCACACATAGCTATATGCAGATTGAGTTTCTAATGCAAGCAATTTCAGGGTTGACAAGAAGGTCCAGCAGGTAAAAGCATTTGCTGTTAAGTCCAGTGACCTGAATTTAATCCTTATTGATACTTATGTTAGAAGTTATATTAGGTAGAAGTTGTCCTCAGACTTCCATATGCACACTGTGGCAGGGTGCACACACAGATAAAAATGAATGCAATTTAAAAAATCTAAAAAAATTCTATTCTGTCATAGGTTAATCTTAATAACATGAATGTAAAAGAAATAAGAAATTAAGGTCACTAATCTGACCTCTTATGAAGAAAGGTATACTATAAATAGCAAATTAATATATGTGAATTTCCTGTGTGTTTACAGCATTGATTTGAGAGTAGCACTAATTCTGGCCCTTCAAACCTGTTTCTATTAATTAGTTCATATGCAGACAAGCAGGTGATCTATATCTGGGACATTCATAAAGCTCTTGAAATGTCTGAATTTACCTATTTGGGATCAAATATTGGTTTCACCCAAAGATGCATCTGATCTGAATGTATTCAAACTCACAAAACTTCCCATAAGACACAAATAGATGATTATACTACCTACTATAGAGTTCTTATCCTTGAAGTAAACAGCACTTTAGACTCATCTGTGGGTGAACCGTTAGATGGAACACAAGGCAGAGCACCGGAAAGGATACCCAAATGTGGGATGACATATTTGTCATCCATGAGACGACAGCAAGTTACTCATACTATAGAAGAAGTACCGGAGTTACACAGTCAAATGAGTGGGAGACACCCAAGCAGGAGTTGAACTTAGGTCCTCTGCTTTCACAGGAGATGCTCTCACCTACTGAGCCATCTCCTATGTACTATTTTTAATGGTAAATCCTTTGGTCTTCCATTTATCCAGGAGTGAAGGGTGAAGCCAGCATCCCAGGTGAGTGGGATGGAGCTAAACTGTGCAGATCAGAGGGCAGGATGCAGAGTGAGGACGGCTATGAGGATTGTCCACAGTGGGACACTAGGTGCTTCAATCAGAAGACCGCCATGGAAGAGCAGAGAAGACGCCGGGGAGAGGGGAGACAGGTGGGACCTTGGTGACCAGGGGCACAGGCAGGAAGGAGGCGTCAGAAGCATGGGTTCAAACACAGGCTTCTGATGACCATCTAGGCTTACTGTTCGTCTCTTTGCCGCATACTATACCTCTCTGCTAACACCCCTTTAAAGACTGATCTTAAAAACGTCTCTCTAATCCTCTTTCTATGCCTCTGTGCTCTCAATAATCTTCCTTAAATAGCAGGTCTGCTCTTAATCACTACTCAAAAACAAAAACACAATCCCACAGACTTAGTGGTTCCCCACTGCTTTACCAAAATAAGTATGAAGCTCTTTTTGGCAATGCAGACTGTTTGCAATAGGGCTCCAACCTATCTTGACGGCTGTAGCTCCCCAACTGTCTACCTGTGTTGGCCAGGAGTCTGCTGTATATATGGCAGGGCCTTCTTGAGGCTCTGGGTTGAGTTCCATCATTCACTCCCCCTGGCTCCTTTACAGCTACTGACAGGACTCCCATTCCTCTCTAGACTTCCTGATTCAAACAACCCCTCAAGTACTTTTGCTTAAACTTTAAAGATTGATTGATGTATTCTATGGGTATACATGTCTGCCTGAGTGTATATATGTTCACCATACATGTGCATGTGCTTCTGGAGGCCAGAAGACAGTGGTAGATCCCCTGAAAATGAAGTTTTAGGCAATTGACAGCCATCTGATGTGGGTGCTAGGAACGGAACCTGAGTCCTTTACAAGGGCAACAAGTGTTCTTAACGATTGGGCCACCTCTTCAGCTACTCTTTGTTAAAATTTTCACTTTCTAAAAATTCTACTATTATTGGTGTGTGTGTCTAGCATATGTGTGCCACGCATTGCATATAGAGGTCAGAGGACAACTTTGTGGAATGGTTTCTCTTTTCCACGGGTTCTGGTGACTGAACTCGGGTCATTAGGCTTACACAAGAGCCTTTACTCACTGATACATCTCAGCGTCCCTGCTTAAAAAGGCACAGCCCTTCGTGTGGTTTTGTCCTAAACCACTGTAAGTATCTTCTTATTAGCCTTGTGGAAGGTGTGTTCTATATCTCAGTCACTGTCACTCAGAAGCAAGTTGACTGGATGAAACAGACGGAAGAGAGTAACATTAATCTCATACTCTGAAATTCAGTACCTGAGCTTGCTTGGTTTCAAACCCCCCGTGGATGCACTCAGCAGTCTGGTGTTCCCAAAGCCCAGGGAGGGGGGTCTGCTCAGGGACTCCAGTGAGGGACTCTTCCGGAGATAAGGGTCTGACTTCCGGTCCTCGGCCCTTCCCTTCAGAAGATCTGTGTGAATAACGACATTGTCACCCATTTCTAAAGAGAAGAAATCTGATTGGTTATCATATTTTATTATCAAGTACAAAGACTTATCTACATGTATATATTCCTACATATACACACATAAATGTTTTTCTTTCTGAAATAATAAAAATGCAAATAGGGACATGGTATTTTTCTACAAGACCTTGTGCCAGGGTGGATGGCTCGGTTGTTCAGACTGCTTACTGCACAATCATGAGGACCTGAGTTCAGATCCCAGGAAGCTAGGTGTTCTGCACACATCTACAACCCCAACTCTAATGGAAATGGAGACAGAGAATTGCTGGTGCTTATGGGCACACAGCTTAGCCAAGAAAATGAGAACCTCAGATTGAGGGGGAGACCCTTCTTCAAAAGGATTAGGTAGTAAATGATAAGAACACTCAGTATCCTTTTTTGTCCTCCTCTTAAGTTCACAGATGCACAAATCCACATTCATATTCACATACACAAAACCAACAAACAAATAAATATAAAATATATCTTTAAAGAAGGATCCACAGTATTAGGGCAGGAGAAATGACCCAGTGGTTAAAAGCACTGGCTTGGTTCAATGCCTAGCACCACAACTGTCGTCTGAAACTCCAGTTCTGGGGTATCCAACACCCTCATTTGTCCTCCAAAGCACCAGGTATATAAGTGGTGCACAAACATACTTGAGGAAAAAAGAAAGGAAGGAAGAAAGGAAGGAAGGAAGGAAACAAGCAAGCAAGCCAGCTTAATGTCAAAGCAGTCCTTTGTTGAAAAATGGTTCTAAATTTTCAGACAGTGTAAAATATGGGCCCTTCCAAGTGCCTTGTGCAACTATCCAGTGAGGTCACCCACTCCTCTAGCTCTGTCTCTAGCTAGTGTTGTTTCCATTAGCTGTGGATCAGAGAAAAACCTGGTAGGAAAATGTCTCATGTGACTGTCAGGTCACAGATAGAAGCAGATAAAAAGCTGGGAACCAAGAACAATTGCCCACAGGAGAAAAATTGTTCCAACTACAGGCTTATAGTTCACTAAAACCTGAGCAAACCCCCTCTCTTTAAGGCTCCGTTCTGCTGTTGTATTAGTATTAGTGAAAACAGGCACAGAAATGAGCTGAATTCTCCAGGTATCTCTCAAAGGACCACAAGAGCAGAAGGGAGTGGAGGAGAGACTATTAGAGGCTGGCCGACAGTGAGAGCTGGAGCTGTGAGACGTAGGTGGTTAGTTGAGCGGGACAGCTGGGGCCACCTCCTGTCACCCACAGTCACAGAAGAAAACAGGACCTCTTTAGCTAATAGCCACCAATTATGGGCATGAAGTTGGCGGTGAGGCCAATTAGGTCTAAATAGCAGAGAAAAACAGTTCTACATCACTGAAGATCAAAACAAAAACAGAACATCAATCTGCAGTTAGGGATGACCTCAATGTTGACAAGCAGTTGCTGGAAATGGCTGGAAGCAAACGATTTTCACTATGCAGTCCTTTATTATAGTAAATAGAATCACCACCAGGAGACAGGTGCCTGGGGGGTAAGAAGGAGGAGGGCAGCCAATGAGCTGCACAGCAATAATTGTGGTCTCAACTTTATTATTTATCTTGTCAACCAAAAGAATGGCTCTTTAGATAATTAGGAAACTTGGAAGTTGGTAGAATAGCCCGAAAAAGACATGAAAACTATGATCACTTGCAGAATACTGAGTTTGACGTTGTACAGCTTCTACCACAATTAAAAAAAAAATCACCTAGCACTATTGTGCAAGTAAGTTACTCTCTATTTTCAACTGCATAATGAGTGTGTGCTATGATATTACATAATGATGCATAGATTTAAGCCAGACAGGTTTTCAATCTTAAGTTTTGGCCTCCACCCTTCATTTCTGGGAAAGAGGTGCTCAGACTTAAATGCCTTTAAGTTACAGCCATATGCATTTACCAAGGCCTGGGAAGCTTAAGAATGGTTTTAGCTCAATTCTGCCTATACCTTGTAAATGAAACAGCAAAGACTAGATTGCAGTACGTCTCTTTACAACACCGTATGAAATCTTTAAAGCCCACTGCTAAGACCTATGGCTCTCACACACCTCTCTGTGGGGCTGGAGATAGCTCAGGTTAACAACACTGGCTGTTCTTGCAGAAAACCCGAGTTCCTTACCAGCATTCACATAGTAGTTCACAACTGTCTCTACCAGTTCCCTGAGAGCTGAGCCTTTTCCTGGTCTCTCGGGGTACTGCACACATGGTACACACATATACAACACACACACATCATCATTATCATAATGATAGCATCATCATCATCATCATCATAACACTGTCTAGGGACTACAGGATATATCAGTGGGTAAAGGTGCTTGCTGCACAAGTCTGATGACCTGAGTGAGTTCAATCCCCAGAAACCATGAAAAAGTATCAGGAAAATTGTTTTCTGATTTCCACATTTGTGCTGTGGTACATATATGTTTACACATGTTATCGACACGTGCATTAATAACAAAATCAACAACATCACCCTCATTGCTCACTGAAAGCACACCTGGTCGGTCACTCAAGAATACTGATGAGGATGCACAAAATTAATGTTCTTTTGTTTACATTTTTTTAACCTCCTGACGCAGCAGCCATTCCACAGCCAATGGATCAAAGAGTACTTCTGACTTTCAAGTCTTATTAAGGAAATATTTCATAAGCTATAGCTGCCACAAATAATGATTCCTCTCATGAATCAGAGAAAAATAAATGGAAAGCTTTTTGAAAAGACTCAGGACTCCAGATGCCAACAGGAACATTCATGGGAAGAAGTAAAAATGTCACTATCAATGGGAGTTTGGAAGCAGGTGATGCCAGCCCTCAATGATGACTTTGAGGGATCCCAGATGTCAGTGGTGGGGATCACTGTAGGTGTGAAAATAGCAAAGGCCCTAGATTGGCAATGGAACCTGAGGGGGGTCAACTGCACTGCTGCCATCTCAGGAGAGGTGGGTGGTGACTTGTTTCTTATAGAGGAACAAAGAAAACAACTTCTTAAGACAGAATTCCTACCTGGTGAAGGCGGTGTGAACACCTGAAATGATATTAAAAGATTCACAATATGACATGAACTCAGGGGAAGGTCAGGTTTTGAAAGGACTGGGTCTGATTTGGAAAGAAGTGCTATGTGGGAGAAAGCCTTTGGGAAAGGCAAGGAGAGGTAACATGGTCAACATCACTGGTGTCTTAAGAACTGCCACCATTACCCCAGCTACAGCAAGCACCACCTGACCAAAGTCAGTAGACATCAACATCAGACAAGACCCTCTGCTGGGCAAAGATGCTAAGTTGCTGAAGGCTGCTGGATGACTATCTGTGATAATGTAATTATTAAGCAAGCTATGGGTATTGTAATACTTAAATTACAACACAGAGTAAGCATTACTTTTTCTGTCTTACTTCACAATACTTTTGTGCATTGGCTTGGTGCAGGGGACTAGAACCAAGCTTCCAGAAAACTTACTAACATTTACTAAAGCAAAAGCACTGTTGTTCTTTCTCTGAGCATGCTCACAGGCTCAGCAGACAACAGCAAGGAAAGATTAGCAGCAAGTATTTCTATGATGCCCATGACACACCAGGTTTTAATGAATTAATTCAATCCTTCAAATGACGCAATGAAGTAAGTTTCTTTTTCTTTTAGTTTTTTTTTAATCAATTTTTATTTTGTTATGTGTGAGTGTGAGACTGTACACATGAGTGCTGGTGCCTCCAGAGGCCAGAAGAGGGTGTCAGATCCCCTGGAGTTAGAGGTGATGGGAAGGAAATTCAGGTCCTTTACAAGAGCAGCAAGTGCTCTTAACAACTGAGCCATCTCTCCAACCCTGGAAATATTTCTGTATTAGAGATGAAGAAGACAGAGCAGAACAAACCCAAAGCTGGGATGTTTGGAATGACAATGCCAAGAGACTCAAGGCCAACTAGGGCTTCGCTTACTTCCCTTTTAATGGCTACAGTTCTGCACCATCAGCACTGGAGGCCCAGCAGGAATGAGAATGTGACCTGCGAGACCCACTAATTACAACCTCTGCTTCACTGTCAGGATTTGAGTTTGAAAAGGATACAGTGAGCCGTGATGGTGGCGCATGCCTTTAATCCCAGCACTGGGGAGGCAGAGGCAGGCGGATCTCTGTGAGTTCGAGACCAGCCTAGGTCTCGAGAACTAGGTCTACAGAGCTAGTTCCAGGACAGGCTCCAAAGCCACAGAGAAACCCTGTCTCGAAAAACCAAAAAAAAAAAAAAAAAAAAAAAGGGATACAGTGCAACAAGAGGAAGAGAATAAAACTCAAGGGCCTAAAAATGGTACATTTTAAGAACTGTGGAATTAGTTAACAAACACAAAACCAGACAAAAGTTTGTATAACAGTAAATTTTTTTAAGAATTTAAAATCTGTATTCAGATTCAGTTTATTAAAGAAAAAAAAAAAGGTCAGGCTTGGTGGTGCATGCCTTTAACCCCTGCACTTGGGAGGCAGAGGTAGGAGTATCTAAGTGAGATCCAGCCTGGTCTACAAAGCAAAGTTTCAGGACAGCCAGGACTGTTGCACAGAGAAACCCTGTATCAAAAAACTAAAACTACTAAACAAACAAAACACCCAGCTGGAAGATAGTGGCGCACGCCTTTAATCCCAGAACTCAGGAGGCAGAGGCAGGCGAATCTCTGAGTTTGAGGCCAACCTGGTCTATAGAGTGAGTTCCAGGACAGCCAGGGCTACACAGAGAGACCCTGTCTGGAAAAAACCAAAACCAAGTAATAACAATAATAAAAAAAAATCAAATTTAGCCAAGTTGGTATGTCTTTTGCATCTACACACACTGAAGACGGTAGCAAGCAGGAGACATTTCTTCCAGTATGAGCTGCACATCTGGACCTAATGGGTGCATCTTGAGGGGATGAAATCAGCAGAAATAAATACCACCAAGTTCAAGTTCATGCAACGGAAAGTGCACAGCACTAAAACAGGACAAAAAGCACTTGTGCTTCCACAAGTTACCTGAGAGGGGAAGGTCCGGCAGATCCAAGCGCTGAGCCATCCCTTTGCCGGCTGGCCGCATGGTGCTGTAGGTCGAGTGTCTCTGTCAAAAGCAAAGGGCACCGCAGCATGACGAGCTTGCACGTGACAGCAGCAGAACGCAAGTGCACACTGCTGTGCCTGGACACAACTCTCAAGCACACTATCACTGTAATAAGTTCAACTGGCTTAAAGATAATCCCCAGTTCACTTCCACCACCGATTCCTTTTTCCCAGGGGCAACTGTTATTAATCTGTTTTAGGAATACCCTTTCTGGAATATTCCATACATTCTCAAGGATATCTGTAAACACCATATCTTAAGTGAGGTGGGACAGCATGCCTATGATCTCAGCACTGGGAAGCAAGAGACAGGAGAATCCTGGCATGATGGAGAGGGGTGCAGAAAAAGGGGAATTTGCTGGTCAGCTAATCTAGCAAACTGGTCAGCTCCATGTTCACTAGAAGACCCACCCTGTGCTAAACATAAGACAGAAAGCTATGAGGAAGATACCTGATAATGACCTCTGGCCTTCATATATACATGCACAAATATGCACACCTGCAGACATGTATACACCACATATACACATACTACACACACACGTGCACACATGCACATGCACACACACATACACACATCCCTTTTGGGGCTCAAGGGTCAAAGAGTATATACAAAAATGATCCACATCACCAAGGAGACACCATCTCATTCCAACTCTTAAGACTATTATTTAAGAACAAAAGAAAACACCAAGTATTGGTGACAATATGAAAAACTTAGAATCTGCATGCACTATGGGTAGGCATATAATGATGCTAGATAAAATAGAATGAAGGTTCCTCAAAAACTTCAAAATAAAGGTAGATGTGGCGGCACACGCCTAAATCCAACATTTGGGAGGAAAAGGTATACAAATCTTTATAGGTTGTGGCCAGTCAAGACTTTGTCGTGAGTTCGAATTCAGACAGAGTTATATAGCAAGACAGTCTCAAAAAAAAAAAATTCCAAATAGGTTTATCATATGACCCTACTTATAGGCTTTTAACCAGAAGAATTGAAAACAAGAGCTTCAAGAGATGTTTGGACACTCATGTTGACTGCAACATCATTCACAATAGTCAAGAGGTAAAAACTGCCTAAATGTTTGCCCAGCAACTCCTGTTGGATGGCAGAGCCTGTCCTACTTCCGGAAAAAGTTCTGGTGATCTGCAAGCCGACATCGTGTTTATAGTTAACAATACTACGTTGAACTCCAAAAAACCCAAGAGTGTGGTTGGTTATCCTAACACATTTGACACTTGAGTCAAATACCTCATATTGTCCTATAGATACAAGTGCAGATCTTATCACACACACACGCGTGCACACATACACACATATATCTACACATGCGTGTGCACGTACACCTATACACACACACACACACACACTTGCACGCACAGGCTATTCCCATAAACAAAAATACCATGTCTATAAAAGCATAAATGTTAACACCACCATATTTATCGGGTGCCATTTGGCTTTGTTAATTCTATGTGGGCCTGGAGTTGTGCTGGACCCTTGCCAGGCTGTATCCACTACAGATTCACATGAGAACTGCAGTAAGAGTGACCACATGACCCAGAGGGGTCTCTGCAGCCTGAATTCCACCAACTGCCACGTGCGTTAGCTAGAAAATGATGTGACGCTAATAGTGTCATGGAAATTGCTGGGAGGATGAGACGACTAAAAATCCATCCAGAATAATGCGAGCATCTCATGGGTTAGCTACCATCAATTCCATAGTTCATCCGACCCACAATGAACAGCAATACTGACCTTGACACTGTCTATACACAGTGCACAGAACCACCTTGAAGCTTTCCAGAGCATTTTTTAGGAGTCCCACTCTACACTGCATGAAATGCGTGGTTCCCCGTGGTCCTCATAAATATACATTGTTTTAGAATACAATTTTCAAAAAAAAAACATTTTGAAATTTTTGAAGGCATTATGTTAAGTAAAAGATCCCTAACAATTTAGTCTTATAGAAGAGCATCCAAAATTTCATCACCAAGTATTATTACTGCCAAAATAATAAATATTATTATGATGATATGGATTAAAGAATTTCCCAGAGAGGGGCTGGAGATACTGTTCAGTGGTTAAGAGCACTGGCTGCTCTTCCCAGAAGAGCCATATTCAATTGCTGGCACCCATATGGCAGCTCACCACCACCTGTAACTCCAGTTCTAAAGGATCTGATACCCTTTTCTGGTCTCCAAGAGCATTAGCATGCCCATGGTACAAATATGTACATGCATGCCAAACACCCACACACATAAAATTAAAAAAAAAAAAGAATTTGAAAGAGAGAGAGAGAGTACACATGAATTGAACACTGGCACCTGTATGTCACAATTAGGAAAAATGGCTTACATAATTGACTGTGCTGGTTAGTTTTGTGTCAATCTGACATGAGCAAGAGTCATTTAGGAAGAGGCCACCTTTGTTGAGAAAATGCTCCCACCATATGAGCCTGTGGGAAGGCCTGCAGGGCGTTTTCTTGATTGATGATTGATGTGGGAGAGCCCAACCCACAGGCAGTGACGCCAGTCCTGGGTTGGTGGTTCTGGATGATATAAGTAAGCAGTCTGAGCAAGACATGGGGAGCAAGGTAGTAACCAGTACTCTCCCATGGCCTCTGCAAGGTTACTGCCTTGCCCTGAGTTTCTTCAGGGATGATTCCAAGCTCTAAGATGAAATAAACCCTTTCTCCCCAAGTTGCTTTAGGTCATGGTGTTTTATAACAGCAATACAAACCCTAATTAAGACACTGACATAAAGACAAAGTGTGGTGATCACAGGATAATATAACACAAGGAGAACCACAAGGCTGGTTCTCTCCTTCCACCGTGGGCTCTCACAGCCAAACTTGGCTAGGCTTGCAAGGCAAGTGCCTTTACCCACTGAGCCACCTCAACAACCTGGGGATTTTTTAATTTGTAGTGCTGGAGACTGAACCCATGTCCTTGTCTAAACTAGGCAAGCATTCTACTACAAAACTATATTCCAGCTCCTAAGGTTTTTCTCTTTGTTTAAATCAAGAAGAGTCACGAAAACTCAGAAGGTTGAGGCAGAAGGATTAAAAATTTAAGATTTACTTGGAGCCTGGGCAAAATAGCAAGACCCTATCTCAAAAAACAAAACAAGAGCTAGGGACATAGCTCAAAGGTCGAGAGCTTGCCTAGCATGTTCAATTGCTAGTGTCACAAAGGTATTCCTCACTTACACTTGGCTGTTACCCACTAAGATGAGAATACATGTTTCTTTTCTTTGTTACTATGGTGAGTTTCCTAACTCTTCTTAATAGTTAAAACCTTCCATTCTTGGAGCAAAAGCCTTTGTCATATTTTTCATATACTATTCAATTAGGTTTGATAAGATTTTGTTCAAGAATTTTACATGGAGGTTTATGAGCGACTCACCTTTTAATTGTCCCGTTTTTCTGTTCTTACCAGAAATAATAAAACTACCCTGGCTCATGAGTTGAAAAGTGTATCCCTTTTTCCTAGTATTTGTTTGAATTCATGACTAGTATTGATGTTATTCCCTTCCTTAAGTGCTTTAGATTTTATTATTAAGCATTCTGGGTCTAGTATTTCCTTTGCAGAAATAATTTAAACTCTAGGCTACTAAAATAAACATAAACTTTATGATTTTCTAAGATTTTTCAAAGTTATCAGCACATAGTGATTATAATGATTTCTTATGATTATATGAGAATAAAAAAAGATTTATTTTTATTTAGTTGCATATGTCTTTGTGTGTGTGTCATGTGTGAGGGTACCAGGGGAGGTCAGAAGGAATCCCTAGAAACAACTACTCTCCTCCAGTTGCTCTGTCTTCTGGCTTCAATCATTTTATGGAGAATCTGTGGTCTTGTCCTGGCTCCCTTGACACCAGAGGCCTGGTCCTGAGTGTTCTACAGTGCTTCTTTTTGTCTCTGCAGTTTTAACTGATGCACCCATGTTGTTCTCTTTGTACACCTCTAGCCTGGGTTCACTGTCGTTCTTGCCTGTGGCCCGACTCTTTCATCAGCTCTCCAAACTCTTGGCTTTCTTTCTTCACATCTCCTTCCTGCCAGATCTAATCCTACCTCTTTTAGGAACTCCTATGTGACTGGAATTGTATAACTGACTAGAGGACTCTGTATATGGAAACAATAGCTGTACCAGGTGGCGGCGGCGCAAGCCTTTAATCACAGCACTTTGGGAGGCAGAGGCAGACACATCTCTGAGTTTAAGGTCAGCCTGGTCTACAAAGCAGAATTCCACGACAGTCAGGGCTACAAAGAGAAACCCTGTCTTAAAAAACCAAACAAACAAAACACATATTTAAGAGAAAGAAAGAAGGAAAAAAGAAAGGAAGGAAGGAAGGAAGGAAGGAAGGAAGGAAGGAAGAAAGAAAGAAAGAAAGAAAGAAAGAAAGAAAGAAAGAGAAAATGAAAAGCTGTAAGGTAGGCTCCCATATGAGATTACCTTTCTCAAAAGATTTACTTCTGCTGCCAGGAGGTACTGAAGGTGGGGGATGAACACCTACATACAAACCCATGTTTTTGTGGGTTTTAAAACTCAACAAATAAGTCAGGCATGGTGGTGTGCGTGTTTGATTTCAGTACCTGGAAGGCAGAGTGGGTGGATCTCTGTGAATTCAAAGCCAGCTTGGTCTACATAGGAAGTTCTAGGTCAGCCAGGGCTATACAGTGATACCCTGCCAAAAGAAAAACTCTTCAACAAAATAAAAGGCTTCTTTGATACTAAAGAAGAATATTTTAATAAGCTAATAGAAAGATATTTAAATGACACAAAAAGTTCTTAAAGCCATGAAAGAAAATATTGAACAGTGTTATCTTTAGTAAAAAACATTGTAGGAAAAACAAACAAAACCACCTCTTCAGTAAAAGGAAATTATGATTTCACAAGATAAAACAATTACTTCTAAAGAAAAGTCAGGCAGCTTGCTATGTGTGTAGGTATATGGGTGAGTACAGGTGCCTGTTGAAGAGGCCAGATACATTAGACCCCTGGAGCTGGAGTTACAGACAGTTGTGTGGCTCCATGTGAGCACTGCAAACTAAACCTGGGACCTTTGTAAAAGTAGTAAGTCTACTTAACCACTGAGACATCTCTCCAGCCCCTAAAAGAAGTATTCTCTATAAAAAATAAAGGTTAAAGAGAATGCATCAAAGTATCTTATAAACAGGAAAAAGCCAAAACCACATAGTCAAGTGGTCAGTGTGAAGGTAAGTACATACCTGGAAGATGCAAAGCAACATTACATAGTCATGTAAGAAGAAGCACACAACACACAAAAGTGAAACCAGTGTCACCTCACTTACTAAAATCTTCAACATGTACACAACTTCAAAATTCTTGGGAAACAGAACTTTCCATGTGAACAAAGTGTACACAGAAGTGTTTCAATGTGCCAGGACAGAGCCAATCCTTCTCCCTTTTTAACAGTACACTTTCCATGTCTAGGAATTGCTTTCTAGAGTTCTAAGGACCAGCCCCTCATTGCTCACTATTTTGAGAGACTGGAAAACTAAGGATATGCTTTCTAAACTCCTTAACTCTTGGTTCACCATGCCAGACAGGCCTATCTCAAGACTCTGGAAGATGCGAGGAGGGTGCATCTGCCCTTCTGCTGCTTCTGCAGGCTATGGATGCATTTGCTTTCCTGTTGCAGAGGAGCTCTGGTGTCTGATCCCACAGCTGTGGGTATTATGAGGCATGTGTTTCGCTGTTCTGGATGCACAAGTGGTAGTATACAGTCCTGAAGCTGATCTTAGGTCTCCTCGGAGGCCACTGTCCAAAGTAAGCACTTAGTGAAGGGTATTCTGAATCCAGCAAAAACAGAAGCACATTTAAGGGGCAATTTGAGATGTTAGGAAGCCTTTCCCATGAGCTCACCAAAGTTTTAGCTATCTCTTCTAGTCTTGAAGTACCAAAGCCTCTGAACTAAATTCCTTTCTGCTAACTAGAGCAATTTCCAACATTTTGAAATGAATCCTGATAGGCTCTCATACAGAAATAAGGCTTCAGGACATCGAAAGCTTGCACAAGGACCTTCACTATATTGTTTTTGTACTAAGTTAAATCTACGATGACCGGAACAGCCATCAAGAGTGACTTAGTAACTGCAGATGATGCGGATGTTGGCTTTAAAATAGAATGGCGATTACAGTGATGATCAACACTGGAAGTTCCTTCATGCAATAAACAGAAATTCATTGAGCTCTACTGTGATGTGATGACCGTCACCCCGTTCTAGCCAAGAGACCTAGTAGTGAACAAAACACCAAGTATCTCTGTTGTCACAGGTCTTACACTGCACTATTAAAGTGAAATGAGTGTTGGAAGGGTGTAGACTCTAGTTTACAAGTCCTCTCGCTCTACAGGCACACATGGACAAGTGTAAAGAACACCTGTGTTACACAAGAGCTGCCTCTGGGTTCTTCTATACCTGAATTGGAGAGACAGCAGCTGCTGGAGCAGTCCTCACTGGGATCCCACTCAGGGGACTTCTGGGAGTCTTGTGGACAGCAATACTCTGTCCAGCTCCACCTGCCAAGAAGAGATTAGAACATAAATACCTAAATCCAGTTCAAAACTGCAATAATGTTTTTTGATCTGCTACCCTTGTTAGGTGACTCAGGATGAGCTGTGTGTGGTGGTGTACACATTAATCCCAGCACTCAGGACTCAGGAGGGTGGCAGAAGTCAGCCTGGTCCACACAGTGAGTTCCAGGACAACCAGGACATAGAGAGACTTTGTCTCAAAACAAAACAAAAAACAACAAATCTCCCACAGTGTCAGTATAACATCTACTCTATTACCCTTTTCTCCTCTGCATTAGAGCTGGACTGGGGTCACGAAAGGGGAAGTGTGGGAAGTGTTAGGTGAGTGAGAACTGGTCTCAGATGTCGATATGGGAGGAAGAGGAAAGGGAGTATGTGATGAGGATTTTCTTGGGGGAATAACAGGAGCGTTACTGCACCAATCATTACTGATGACTCATGCTCTATCTACAGACTGACTCACGGGCTTTTCCTGCCTCTCAATATGTTGTCTAATCTTAATCTAAGCAATTTGGAAACTATTTTAGCAGAGACAACCAGATCATCCTAGAATTAGCCACTGTTGCAGCTTTCCAATACAAAGCACATTTGTGGCAGTCAAAAGAAGGAAGTCATCTCTATCGTGAACAGAAGCACAATGTTTCTTCAACATGCTATATTTGTGCATATGCTTAAAGTATGAATGTGTAATTGCCTCCTGTGTGTAAGATGCATAACCAAAGTGACACTGTGAGTCAGACAGACAAGTCCAGAAAAAGCCGGCAACAGACAGATCAGTAGGAAAGCTCCCATGTAAGACCAAATAGAAAGACATCTAATAGCATATTGCAAGTGAGGATGGTTGAGACACCCGACAACGAGGCCAGATGCAGGCAGGTGATGATCACTTCCAGTTCTCAGAATACAGGAAGTTGGTCCTGAAACTGCTGACTCCATGAGGCAGGAAAGGAATGAAGGGGTACAACCCTAAGTGGAAGTAGGGATGAGGCTGTCCCATTGTTAACCATGGCCTCACAGCCTCAGCAAGGCTCCCTGCACAGGGTGGCAGGAGCTAGGGTGAGCCCTTGGTTCTATCAACTTGGGGCTGGTGTGGCAGAAACAGGCTTGATATGTAAGGCTAGGGTTTGGATGTATAGTTTTGTGAAATACCTGAGTGTCCTAAGTCAAATGACTTGATCAGGGACTTTACAGTGGTTGCAGAGTCTGAAGGAGCTGGAGATGCTCTGTTGACATAGGCTCCACGCCATCGGCCGGCAGCATCCACCTCTGAGGGCTCTGACTCTTCATTCACAGGTCTGTATGGCAAAGAGCACATCAAATTGAAAAGGTGGAGGGTGTCCTCAGCGGGGGGAAAAGACAAAGATGGAAACAAAACCAATGTGGACAAAATGTGTGAAGCTGGAAGGGGAATCCTAATTCTAAAGTTAGTTTTCTGAATTTAAAATTATTTTTAAACTGCCTTAGGAAACAGTCTGGAATAATATAAATAGAATAATATCTCTAAGTGAAAAACACATGAATATCTCTGCAATTGTGAAGAAATATACAAATGTTATTTATCATAAATAACTGTCAGGAGTATACATAGTTCCCTGTTGGCACATGCTCCCTCCAAACCGCACGTGGCACACTCAGAGGCTGGACAGATGAATCCCAAGACTCTTTCTTAGCTAAGGTTTCATATGACTTAGACTCTCCATCAGAGACTTGGGCCAGAGCCAGGACACCAGGCGTTTACTATGTTGACACAGACTGTATCAGAGAGAAGGTGCTCCTGGGGCTAGGAACTATAGTTGCAGTTTTCTAAACAGACAGGCAACCTCCTGGTTTAGGGTTCCCACCATGGTGAAGGCAACAGGTCTTCCAGTAGCCCAGTTGTGTTGTAACTGCAGAAAGCTGTTCCTGGAAGCTCAGTCTATAATCTTGTTGATTCAGTTTTCTCCGCAATTCTGCAAGTTACTTAACACTTTTCTGTCTTCGCCACATAAAGTACAATCCATTACACACCAGTCCTTCTTCATGTGACACTTGCCCTCTGAGAGTAAGAATGGAAATTCTGTGCGAAGCTTCCACTCTCATACAAATTTTCTAGTATGTTGTATGGTTTCTAAACACTAGCAGGGAATCACGGGGAACTATCAAAGACAGATCATATGACCCGGCTCTCATGTGTGGCTTTCTTATCTAGAGGCTTTTAGGATGTCATTTAATCTCCTTGTGAATGAGCCAAGATGAGAATTCCCAACATCCCTGTTGCTAAATCACTGTACTTTTTTTTATTATATCATATTGCCACAGCTGTTATGCAAGATGACTGATTCATGAGAAAGGCTCAAACAGAATATTTCTGGAAATACATTTTAATAAGGTCAGCGAAGGTTTAAAATATTTCCTGATTTTCTGAAACTGATCTAGCTATGCATAAGCTCCTACGATTGAATTTACTGTCATTATTCTCTTAGCTTTCTTCTATTGCTCTGTGACCAACATAAATATGCTAAATTTAAGTGAGGCAGAATTAAAGCAGCCAAACTTCTCTGCCCTATACTCTTGATTGCACTGTTCCTCTTTTTGAGTGGAAAAAAAAAATCAGCAAACTGAAAACTTTCTTGGGAGGAACTATCAGGCATTTCAGAAATGGTAAGGGACTGATTTTTTTTAAAGGTAATTTATAATGATTTGATGCAAAGAGGTGGTTGTTTTGCTTCCCACCTTGTATTACATGGTATAAAATCAGATGGCTGGCCAGTGTGATTGTGTAACCGTCGCCCCAGATACTGAGAAACCAAGGGATGATCACTTGAGCCCAGCAATTTGAGGCCAAGCTGGGCAAAACGGGAAGACTCAACCTCAAAAAAGCAAATAAATAAAAGAATTAAAAAACAAAGGAAAATTAGCAAGTAGATATATAGAAAGAAAATGAAACCAGTTTAAGAGATCAGGTCTGGATAGAAAAAAAAAAATCTTATTCCCACATACGTGACTCTCAAGCACATCAAACAATGGGCCAACAGTGAGACACCATTCATTCCATTTAACTGGCTTATTGCCAAAGGAGCAACCAAGGCAGGTCCTTTAAAATATTTTATTTAAATGTTATTCCTTGTTAATTTACTAGGAATAAAATAGAGGATCTACATACAGCAAGTTATTCTTTTCGGGTGTCTAAGTTTCTCTGTGATATGAAACATCAAATGATGTTTGTATGGCCTCAGAAGGACACAGCCATACAAACTAATGGAAAGGATGCCTGTTTTCACATAACCAAAGATGATACTGACCAATCAGCTGGATTGGCTTTAACAGTAAGAATAAGTCTGAACATTATCATATGAAAATCTGAAATAACCAGATATCTGAAATTAGGGACTGGAGAGATGGCTCAGCTTTGACTGCTTTTCTGCAAGACCCAGATTTGAATCCCACCAACCACATAGAAGCTCACAGCTGTCTGTAACTCCAGTTCCAGGAGATCAAATGTCCTCTTCTGACTTCCATGGTCATGAGGAAGGCCATGTGGTATATATACACACATGTAGACAAAAACTCATATACATATATTTATATATACATATATATTATTTACAAAAATTCCATAATTTTTTGAATGTCAATATGGTTCCACTATTGATAATTCCATACTTGACCCCAAGTGACAGGCTGTGGATGCATTAAAAGTATAATACAAAGTCACCTTCAGGCTATGTAAAGTACATATGACACAGCAATGAATTAGAGGAGAAGGCCCGGGTCACAAGCCCCCAGACATCTAATTATGCATATGTAAATACTTAAAGAAAAACCTGAGAAAAAAATCCTGTAATTTAAAACACTCAGATAGAGAATACCTGACCCATCCTTTAATTGTGAACCAGCTGAAATTCCCTGTACTAGATTGTTTTGAGAGCTATTATGGTCTGAGCAATAAATGAATGATCATATTAATTGTGTTCCCAAGAGGAATATGAATTCTGTATATTATGAAAGATATTAAGAAATATTTAATCAGCCAGGTGGTGGTGGCACACACCTTTAATCCTAGCACTCATGATGCGGGGGCAGGCAGATCTCTGTAATTTCGAGGCCACCCTGGTCTACAGAGTGAGTTCTAGGACAGGTTCTAAAGCTACAAAAAGAAACTCTTTCTCAGAAACAAAAAAACCAAGAAAAAAGAAAAAGAAATATTTAATCATATAGGAATATCTCAGTAAATTCTGTAAATAAAGGGTAAAGTGCAAGATTATATACTTGGCTAAGCCAACTTTTCAAGGCCAACTCTAGCCTCTAGGTTGGATCACACATGGAGTCAAATATGGCTTGAAAATCTAAGTCACCCAGAGGCACAGCTTCCGTTGACTTCAAAATACAAACACACTCTGGTGCTCAGTAAGCCCAACACATTAGTTTTCCCTATAGCACTGTGCAGTTTGCTCTTTTCCTTAGCCATATCCTGCAAGAAATGGCCAGCTTCTGGTTAGGAATGACATCTAAAACAGAAACAAAGCATGTTGCCACCACATTTAAAGCTGTAACAGTGACTTCAGTAAATGCACAGCATAGATCTTTACTGCATATGCCAGGAAGTGTAACATGTCACAAAACTAGCATCCCAGACTTGGGAAGACTGAGGAAAGAGTATCCGAAAGAATAATTTTCTACAGAATTCCCTAACTTTAAGTTTTGAGGGAAACTTGGCTACATGGTACCCAAGTGATGAATCTGGGTTATCAACTGAGCTTGTGGAGGAGTGTTTGTCAAATTCTCTGTAGTGTGTGCATGTTCCGGGAGAGGTACACACCTAAGGAGAAAGGCCACCAGTACTCACTTCAGTACTCTCTTTGTTCATTACCTTTGCATGTGGGAGTTGGAAGCCCATCACCTAAGAACAGAAAACCAGAGGCCAGATGCTCTGGGGCATGAATGCAAATGGGTTATGTGTTTGTCAAAAGGCAGCATTTCCCATCAACCACTGTTTGGCTGCAGGTCCGCCTTATGTGTCTTTTGTTGTAATTTAACATATGTATACACACATCTGTGATGACTTTCCCTTCAAATCCCCCCCCATCCTCTCAAACCCACAGCTTTACTTTGTTTGGCTGTAGAACAGAGCTTTCAAACGGTGTTGATTTTGTTGATTTTCGGTATCATTTGGTGGCATTGCCTATTTTGGTCCAAGTCCAGGTGAGCTCTTGTGTATTGTGATTTTTGAAGCGTTCAAATGTTAACTCTACTTGTCAAGTGTCACATCACAATGCTGATGAGCTTTCACACTCGACAGACTGTTTGTAAAGAGGAGTGGTCCCACCAAGCTCATGCTTACACCTGCCACGCTGGAACAATAGAATAAAGCCTGGCCCCAGGCTTCTCACAGTGCCATTATGGGCTTCTGTGACTCCTCTCTGTCCATCTAAGCTTTCAGCTTTCAGCTCAGCCACGGAGTTTTGTTCCTTTTTATGTCCTGACTCAGTGCCTTTGAATATTCTTTGCCCTAATCTGGGATGTCATTTTCACAAAATTATTAATGTTTTCAACAGAGCTAAAAGAAGTTTGTTGCTCTTATTATATGGCAAAAATTATGAAGTCTTTGATCTCAGGCATCAAACAGTATCTTCTGAAATTCACTTTCTATTTTCAGTACTAGCATACAGAACAAGGGATAAACATCATGTAAAATGGTAGCTTAAACACATCTTACTTTCCAAATCCCATCAAGATGAATCAAAGCAGTTAAGCATCTTCCATCAGCAACAGAAACTAAGGAAGGGTACCATCCATGGCTTAAACTTTAATTCCAGCACTCATGAGTCAGAGTTAGAGGTTGGCATTGCTCTATGAGTTTGAGGCCAGCCTGGTCTACATTGTGGGTTCTAGGCCAGACAGGATATATAGTGAGATTCTGTCTCAAAAACAAAACAAAACAAACTTTTAAACTCTCTGGTACACAGGAATATATATATATTCCTGTGTGTATGTGTGTGTATTATGGGTGAGGGTACCAGGGGCTTTCCTCTAATTCCCTTACAAAGAGAATAAAGATGATAGGGGTCTACCTTGCTAGTATCCTCTAGCCTACAGGGCCAGGGCTGGAGAGGAGCATGAAGCCAAGAACATAAAGCACATTCTTACAGAGCATCAGGGACATGAGCACTATCTGAGGAGTCCATGGAAAGATGATCCTGGCCAGGAAAAGCCATGCACTATATCTAACATGGACAATAACGAAGCAAAAAGCAGACCCAGAAATATGGCTTCCACATCTAGGTTTGTCCAGAGAAGAAACTACACATCAAGGAGT